ATGTGTGTAAAGTTTCATTCGAAGAGTTCAAAAGCTGAGAAAGTAGTTTGAACTGAAAAAGTATATATATACCTACACATATACTTTATGGTATTTTCGACGTTTTTTTTAATGCGTTACGAAAATCTTGACAAGTCTAATATACCCTTTTAACACTTTTCCTTGTAAAGGGTATAAAAAGATGTTAGTACTAGGCCCTCAGTTAGAATTTGCTTATGGGCCTAAAAAATGTGGTTACGCCACTGGTAACAACACCAGAAATGATTCGTAAAGCTGCAATCAAATTGTAAAGGCAAAATAGCTGAACGTGAGCTAGGACTAAAGCCATTAAAGTTTAACGAAGTGCATGATCTCACCGATGAACACAAAAAAGTTAGAGTCGAATGAGCCAAAGTGTTGGATAGTTTGACCGAAACTAGTGGGTTGCCGTATTTGGTTTTTTCTGATGAGTCACCATTCATAATGGAGCGCAGTACGTAAACAAGCAAAATGATCGAGTTTACTTGTCAGAGAGGTCAGTCAAAAATGTAAACATATGAATGGCCACCAGAAAGCAGACGCCACCGATGGTAATGGTATGGACCGCCTTAAGAGCCGATGGTCGTTCTTCTCTCGTTATAATCGAGCGTGTGGGGTAAAAATAAACGCTCAAATCTATACAGAAATTGTTTTAGAGAAAGAGAGTACTAAAGCAGATGAGCATTTTGGTGTCAGGCGTTGAATATTCCAATAGGGCTTAGCACCATTGCAGAAAGGTTGTTTTTCAACCAAGAATGGCTGAAAAACAACCTGATATAAAACCTTTATATTTCTCGGTCTGGGGTAAGGTTGGCATTAAAAAATATCAAAATGTTGATCGTCTTAAGCAAGCACTAAGTCGAGAATGGGCCAAAATACCGCAAAGCAGCGTACGATAGCCAATAGGTCGCTTGAAGGCCATACTTCATGCTAGAGGTAGCCATATTGAACCAAAATAAATTAACCTAAAATTTCTTTTCGCATATTTTCGTTCACCTTTTTATTGTAACAAAAATAAACAAAATAGAGCGTTTTATTTTGTTGCAATTTTCGTCAGCCACCCTGTACGTAAAAGAATAATTATGTATAATATATGGAATATATATTATTTAAATTTTAACTTCTATTTCAATTAGTTTTCCATATAATATATCTCCATTTAAAAAATTCATATTATTTGTCAATAAATATTTACAAAATATTTTCCAATAGATTTGAGTAAATTTCCGACTGATATTGTCACATTAAGTAACGCCAACATTAACAAAATTTTCATAAAAACCTACGATTTAATGCCTTTCTAAACTCTTTGTGGATATCAACGCAGGCAGTACCAGAGCTCCAGGAAGTCATTAAAAAATGTTAAAGCACACGTACAATTGAAACGAAATCGAATATTAGCAATAACAGCAAATTTTGAGGAAAATACGGCCGGACACCATATACTCATTAATCTGTGAGCAAGGAAATATAATTCGTGCCCACAGAGCATTGCGATTCGTGTAGGCTTATCATTAGACACGTAGCTCAATTTCTGTCCGCTCTTACAGGTGTCTGTCTCTCCGTCCGTCCGCACATCTATAAAATACCAAATTTAGTGATTCGTACGAATACCAAAAAAATGTTCAATAAAAATTCAGTTTTACTATTTGCGTAGGTATTTTAATATAATTACTTGATTTTATATGCCAATTTTGGTAGGTGCTTTTACCCAACTTATAATTCTGAATAATTCTATAATTCTAGTTTATACAGCAATTAGTTTTATAGTTTAATTTTATTAAAATAATAAACAATACTTAAGCAATTATTTAGTGGCGGTAAAAAATTTAATTGGGTTAATAGACATTAAATAATATTTTATTAAGTAATTACACAATTTTAATAAATATTTTATATAATTTGTTTTATTGAGATTAATTTAATGGATCTTAAATTATAAGGGGACATATTCATAATTGTTGGTAATTATTTATTTTATAGCAGTTTTCCATTTACAAAACCAAGAAATATAAAAAAAGCTCTTAATTACTCCCATGTAAACCCTAAATTACATTCCTATGATTTAAGAGAAGGAACTTATATCTTATATTACACCAAGGAATAATAATAGCAATTAAAAGCGAAGAAAATGATAATAATGTTTTCTTAATCAGTAATCTTGGGATATATGACACTCCAATCATTTACCCAACAAAACTATAATATAAAAAAGCACCTTTTTGTTTTTTTTGTGCGGTAGATGGAAAGCATCAAAAGCTACCATATATCAATGTGGAAACTGCATTCCAATACTCAGGGAAAAGGCATTTAAGCGAGTGGCTTAATACCTAGTGGACCAGTTTTATCTAAACCAAAAAGCGGGAGTGCGGGGATTGGGCTAGCGGTAAACTCTGTCACCAGAGTCACGAGAGCCGCAGTTGAATGGTAAAAAAATAGCAAATAAGTGCCGTAGCAGCTTTGAAAAACGTACCTACTTGCAGAAACTAGTGTGTAGTCCCAATTTTATGTATTCGGTAGCCTGAAAGAATAGACAACTTCGAACTTTGCAAATCGAAGAAGTAAAATAAGAGCTATAAAAGAAACAGAAAATAGGAAAAGGAATTGTATAGGCTGTACTCGCAAATAACCGAACAACAATATTATTATATAGATATTATTTTCAAACTCACAATTTAAAAACAAAATAATTATAATAAAAACAATAACAAAAAGATAATGATCTAAAGATAACAAAGCAAACTAATACAAGTAACATTTGTATAAACAAACTCTGGGATAGCTAGATTAAGGGTAAACTAAATATTGCAAATATCTAGAAAGTAGTGTGTACTCAATGTAAGCCGAAGTAGGCCAAGCCAGATGATGGAAAGGGGTTATCGAAGCCAAAAAGACTTTGTCTTTGATTGCTCAAAGTACAAGAGGGATCAAAGATATGCAGAAGTGATATAGAATTACAACAGAAGCCGTAGAGTTCTTGAAGACTATCTGAGAATAGATGTTTGCGGGACACGAAAGTCTGTCTGGCTCTTAAGCGTGAAAACACAGCGATATGATTTTTTAAAGATGTAAAGATTTACCATGTTTGGAAGATTTACATCTTCGGAAATTGAAAAGATAATGCAAGCACAGTATGCAAGAGAGAAAAGTTTCACTGCTAGGTCAGTCGCTGCATTTGCAATTATGCTTTTATTTCTGGGGATTCACATTACTTTTAGCCACTTGTATTGAGTCGAAAACAGAGCCCGTGATTTAAGGGTAACCGTACTATTATATTAAAGGTTTATGATGGCTTGTAAGGTAGTTAAGCTATTAGTGTACTTTACAAATTTCTCTTTTGAGGCAACTGCATATTTGAATGCAAGTTTAATAGCTTAAGCTTCTGCCATAAAAATAGAACATATTTTCAACGACATCCACATATCATGTAATACTGGAGACATAATTTAGTTTTGTGATGTTTTCATTACTAATTGCAAGTTCAAAAAATAAAATCCTTATGTTGAATATACATTTCAAAAATATAAATTATTTAATGAGTTAAACAAAATTTCCATAAAAAGTTATTAAATAAAGTCCTCTGACATGCTTTCAACACTTGATTATCAGAATAAAATATTAATATTTTAGTCTGCTATATACAGTGCCAATAAGTATACACACTAAGTAGTAGTGTGTATACTTAATATTCATATCGGTTTTAGTTAAAAATTATCTTCGAATATTTTCTATGATAGGTCCACAAAAAACTGTTAAGTCAGATAATACCAGAACTTCTAATATCAGACTAAAGTACTTAGAGTTCCAATTATATAATAATCATTCGATATTTTTAATGCAGTAATCTACCAGACCTAGGTGACCACCGTGGTCATAACCCACCGATTTTAAGATAATCAACTTTTTGCAAAAATTAAAAAATAAAAAAGGCTGTTTAGTTATTGCGATTTGACTGCAAGCCTTCTTAGTCCTCACTGCCTATCTCTTAGCTTAAATCAAATTTAATCATCAATATATTTTTTTTATACATACATTTTACATATACATTTTCCACAGTAATTGGGTTGTTTTCTATAAGAAATTTAGATATTTTTTTCTAATTTTTTTTGTCGTCATCTAAAACTTATCCTGTCACTCCTGATATAAAATGTTTGTCAGGAAACTACAGACAAACAGCCCAGATGATATATAAGGGCGCAATATATTCTGTAAATGGTATTATCAACTTAAAAATCAACCTCTAAAATATAGATTTAAATAGAACGAAACAATTCATTGGGGTATAAAAAAATCTTCTGCGTGAAGGCAGAATCGGCAACTAGAAAATGATTAAACGTGATATCTGATACTAATCACAATTTCATCAATTATGTCTGTTTTTGTTCCATAAAATGAATAGATATTTTTAATTACTTATGTTTATAAAGATATTTTCACGAACTACTGTGAACAACTTATAATCTATGCTATGTAATAAATCTGAAGTAAATCAATCCACAAAAGGACTTTCTGCATTTCTGAAATATTATCTTTTTCCATTAGTTTATAATACAAAAGACAACCCGGTTTGGTTTTGCTTTTCCTCTTGCTTTTATGAAAATTAATAAACTAATAAATTTTTAAATATATACATATTTTAACAAATAATATACACAACTTAGAAAAATACTATTTCACTTAAACTTTTAATTCATTTACTGAAACTAACAATCAACTTTTTTCTAAGCCAAGTGCGTACATCATCAAACTCTGGTAACTCTGCCAAATTCATTTCTTCACCTGCATCCAAACGATGATCATACATTTCCTCACCATAGATATCAGTCCAATCTGAAACATAAATGTAAATATATATATAATATATAAATAATTTTAATTTAGTTATTACAAAAATATTACCTCGGCTGAAGTTTTGGGCGTGAAAACGCACCCATAAGGTGTACCGATAATTCTCAGTGCGCATAGAATACCCCATCACTTTGATATTCTTCAGTTTAGGTTTATCGCTATTAGGATGTTTTGTTGGTTGTGTGCCGGGACGTGGATATTGACTTAGAGCCACATGCTCTTCACCTAAACCAACACCACCCAGTTGTGGAAATAGACTCTTACCCTCTGTGCAAGCCAACTGTGTAGTATCAGTACAGCGTGGTAGTGATGGCAAGTGTGCTAAATCGACTAATGTTGGAAAAACATCCACTAATTCCGTCATGGTGTTCACTCTCTTCGCCGTATCTAAAGCATATTCTGGTGTTCGTATAATAAGTGGTACACGTAAGGCAACCTCAAAATTACTATATTTTGCCCATTCAGCATGTTCTCCCAATGACCAACCATGATCACTGGTCACTAAAACGATCGTATTATTTTTATCAATATTAGCCATAAATTTTCCAAATAAATCGTCGACATATGCGACCGAAGCGTAATACGCCTGTCGTATTTGTGCACTTTGCAAGCGTGAAATCGGTCCATAAGGGAACGATATATTCATATATTTGAAGTCATCACGTGAACGCACATCTGTATAGGGATTCCAAGCCACGTTTGGCATATCATGTGGTTTAATTGTGTCTTCGGTATAATTGTAAAAATTACGTATGCGAAAATGATTTAAGAATTGTTTTGGGAAACGAAAATTTATGTGTGGCTTGTGAAAGCCCAAAGCGAGAAAATAGGGTTTACGATTTTTAGTACGGGTTTGCACAAAGCGTATCGCTTCCGTGGTAGACTCAATGTCAGGTAAAGTTTTATATGGTTGTGTCTGCAAATGTACAGGGCATATAAGATTCTTTTTAAGTACACCGCTAACATCGGGACAAACTGGCGAATTCATGTATTTTTCAGTTTTTGGACGGAATGGACGAGCAGTCCAACTGAGCGGATAGTCATCAGTGTTATTTGAAGATATGCCTGGGTGAAATATTTTTCCAGTGCTATAAGTATAATAACCGTGTTCCTTAAAGTATTGTGGCAACGTTGTGAAATTACCAACAAAATTGCGCCAATAACTGTAGAAGTCATACAGATGAAGAGTATCAGGACGGCGACTGGTGAGCATAGAGTTACGACTAGGCGCGCACAGAGCTTGCTGTAAGTAATAAAAAGCAATGAAAACAATTAGAACGAGATAGTTTTATATTTGCTAAATTAAAATACGTAATTTTAATTATTTAATTAAGCAAACAACAAACGCTTTCATTATTATTTACAACAACTATTGCATACAACACAAGCGAATATAGTTCACTTACGATTTCTTAGAGTAAACAACAACAAAGTAGCTGATCACTTACACTAACACAGATCCATTGCGATATGAATCAAAATAACAACAATCACTACAACTTTACCTGACTATAAGCGCGTGTAAAATAGTAACTTTCATTCATAAAAGCATCCAAGTGCGGCGTGTACGCCAAACGATCGCCATAGCCACCAATGACTGGACGCATATCATCGAATATCACCAAGACGACGTTATATCGTGACGTCGCATTTCGCGTACTATAGACAAGTGCCAATTGCACAGCAAATAAGAAGCCGAGCAACAATTGCGTCTTAAGAGATTTATATTTTTTTCTCATGACGAAATCACAAAATCTGCACTATTCAAATCAAAAAATTGATGATCTCAAACTGTTGATCACCGATCGCGACGATGAGCACTATTTGTGCTACTACTACGTTGAGCTGTACACCGAAGACTGCGACTGCGGGTTACATTGAAAACTGAGCCTGCGACACACGTTGAATTCCAAGATCAGCAATTTGCCTTTTATGATTATTATTTCATTATTTTACTTAGCTCACAGTTTTGAGTATTTCTCAGTTCGGATACGAAATTCTATAGCCGAACGGATGTGGAATTACAAATTGAATTTTTGTGTATTTTTGTTTGCTTTATTTGGGTATTTTTTTCTTCCTTCCTTCAATTGCTACATGCTTTGTAAGCAGTGCCATTCATGCAATTGTATTGAAAAACATACAAAATAATATTAATTTATTATTATTTTTATTATTATTAAATATAAAATGCAAAACCAGAAACGCAAAAAGAAATTCCCACTTTTGATTGCCCACATGCGGGTATTGTAAATCAATTTAAACTATAGAGCGTAGCCAACCATTTCAACAGGGTGACTGACTATTTTTCACAGTGTTTGACTTTAATTATATTAGAATATAACTACAACAAATTATAATGAAATAATAAAGAGATATAGTATTGACGTGGTGATTAGATTGATATTACTTACAGATATATCATTTTTTCAAAGACATTTGCGAAAATTACGAAAGACGCACTGGGAAGAAACGTAACCATATTTCAAGCGGAAATATACGCGATAGACATATACGCCAATTTCAACCTTGAACGCAACTAAAAAATTAAAATTAATAAAATTGCAATATTGATTGATAGTCAGGCAGCTATAATATCCTATCAGGTGACATCCAAACTGATATAGGAGTGCATTGACAAGCTGAATCAACTTGGCTGGAATATTCAGGTGCACTTTATAAAGATTCCGGGACATGCTGGTATCCGAGACTATGAAGTGACAGACCAACTCGCAAGAAGAGACGCGACTTCAATAATGATAGACCCAGAACCTTTCTGTAGTCTAGGCAAAGGGACTCTATCCATTCTTCTGAACTATCACAAGACTATCATAATCTAAAATGTGTTTAGGGACTTAAAACCTAAAACGCTTCAGGGATTATATAGAACAAACAAAGAATAACCTTAAAATTATTACGGAATTACTACTGTAGATTGAATAAACGCCTAATGAAGTTAGGAATCCAATCCAACTCAGACTGCAGATTCTGTAGAGAAGAGAGAGAAACCCCATAGGTCTTCAAGACTAAGAAAGATAGGCTCTATATTGTCTTTCATTAAACAAATCGGACTCTAATCCAACTAAGGGGCACAATAGATCTTTTAGGTCGCAGTGTACTAGCCCTTGTTCAAAATAAAAAAAAATAGCAGTGAAATTGCAGTTTTATGAATGGCCGAGTCTACTTTCTAAAGAACTTTTAAACGAAGCTATTATTTATAATTGCTACAAAAACAGCTACCCAAGAAATAAAGCTGATAAAATGTATGTCCGATTTACAAAAAAATAACAATATCAATCGTGTCACTTACTGAGCTATAAAATCCTCACGTTTAAAGTGAGGTTATATAGTAAATACAAATAATAGTAATTCTATATGCACATACTTACTATATAGTAGATAAAGATATAATATTGACAATACTGACATGTATGGTATAGTCAATGTGAAATAAACTATTATTCACTATTATTCACGCTGATCACACCATCTTCAGATACACCAGATGAAACACCGAAAGAGCACTTAAACATCACTTGAAACATTAGTCGATGAAATAAAAGTCAAAAATATCAAATCGAAGATGATACCATCTGAAGAAAACTGGACCGACAAAGAACGGTTCTTTACGATCATACTCAAACGAAAAAAATATAATCTCGATATTATTAATATCGAAAAAGAAGTAAAAAATAAATTTAACCAAGCCTTGGACACAAACTAACAAAGAAAATTATTAATGGATTAATAGGAATTAAGGGACCCTACCTTACGATGCTTTAAGTATTTTTAAACCTACTCCGCACAAAAAAAAATATGCAGTCAAGGCTGTAATAGATGATGTCTACTTACAGCAAGTAGTCTTCTATATCTTACATTTTTCGCTATTTGTACTTTAGTCGAATAGCGAGTCCGTAAAGTAAAAAGTGTCAGCGGATTATCTGAACTAATGTAGCTTTTCATTTTCTAAAAATCAAGATGAAATTGCTATGATTCTATCAAGACCGGTTTAGTTATTAAAACTATAACGAAGCTTAGAATATACAATAAGCTCTTACACGTCTAACTGTTTACTAATCTATTTTAATTTTTTAGTACTCAGTTCATCAAATCCACTATTATTGGTAGAGGGTCCTTCTTAAATAAATCGCATGAATGATGATTTCTTAATACAAATAATGAAAAACAATGTCATTGAATCGAAAATGCATTTACTTATTGAACACCCTGAAAATTTAGGACAATTAATGCTATGTTGATGAATTAATCTCAAGTTAAACAAACATTTACGTACTAAATGGTACACCAAAAATTTTTCGGATACATTTTGGATTATGGAATAAACTAAGAAGTTTTTAAATAACACTTCTAAGTAATAAAGGTATATACATTATAGTCCCTTAAGTAATACTATGCATTTTAAACTATTTACAATGATGCGACTAACGATTACATATAATTAATTCTCGATTAATTAACAATTATATTTTCTCCATTATATGTTAACGAAAATAAATTTTTAGTATTCGAGTTCTTAATAAATACTAATGCAACTGGAGAGATTTGAAATCTTTCTATATAAACACCAGACGATAACTTTAGTTTTAATTGATTTTTATTATATATATAAAAATATGAAAATGTCTACAGCTAAATATACCATAATACGCACTCTATATAAAAATCTATACTTAAAAATCATTCATAATTTTTTAGAATCTGTAATAAACGGATCGGCCTTCACGATTTTGAATTGGTCTATAATTATTTTTTATGGCATAACCATTTTCATCGTAAATATTCCAGAGTTTCAAAAACTATAAATGAAATATATTAAATAAATTTGTATTTTAATTTTAAATTCTTAAACTTACATCTAATAAGGGAAGCATAAGAGGTTTTGAAAATACAAACCAACTCACTGATTCGGAACACGGCGGAGTAGTCAGAGAACCTAATTAAGAACAAAAATTTGTAGTTAATAATATAATAAAATTTAAAAAATAAAATAAATTTTTATTATTAATATTTTCAATATATGTACTAACCTTGATAAGTAAAGAATTTGCTAGTGTTTATGGTATCAAAAATTTCTTGTAACGCTAAACTACTTGAAAGAGTCACATTTGAACTATAATACCGCACTCTATCAACGTCTGCAAATATTTTTCTTAAACCAGTACTTTCCGGAACTATTATATCCTACAGAAACAAAAATCAATGGTATAATTATACTTATATATATTTGTTTATGTATTACGTATATATATACCAAAATGCATGGAATAAATGCAAAAGTTGGTTCCCTTTCCGAAAAAACGAGAAAGGTATTTAAAACTTTTGTGGATTTTTTAAATTCCAGGAGGTGGTTGACTTATTTGATTTCTTTTTTGTTTTAAAAATCAACTCATGTCAATTCATTTCTCCATTTAATTAACGAACACCTCGTAGATATATATTTATTTATTTATTTACTAATAATGTTAATTTAGTTTATAAAACTAATACTACGTGTATAGATATAGCTCTGGCTATATATATATACAATATCACTTGTAATATATTTAATGGTCAAACATACCTTTTTGATAACAAAACCGAGTACAGCAAGTCCATCCGGTTTTTCTAACGCTTCTTTAGGATCATAAGCCATATTTTGATGTACAATATGTAGTTCTGCATCATAACGAAGATCATCTATAAGATGTTCTGAACCTCTTGTAGTAACTGAGCCCCAATGGAAATGCAAACTTATTGCTTTGTATTTATTGGTTAACAAAGCACCTTCTATATAAGGTGGTTCTTCACTGTTAGGAATTTTGATTTGCACTAAAATCAAGTAAGTCATTTATAATATATTTTTGTTATTTTAATATGTAAGTATATATAGTGAACAATATATTTACATACCTGTTCTGCCATTATTTAGCATTTCCAAGTTTTTCAGTTGTATATTATAATTTCTAAAAACTATTGGTGGTACGTCTCCAATGTCTGGTACATTTGTCTCTGACTAAAGAAAAATGAAAAAACATAATATATATTACAAGCTCTTGTGTTAATAAAAATGTATTAATTTACAGTCAATATAGACAACTTGATCGGGGATTGACTTTTTCCATTATTGCAAATTGGATTTTTAACGCCCCATTCTTTGATGTTGTCATACGAAAAATCAGCTAAAGGATGTTTAGAAAACATAAGTTAATTGTATTAGTATAGAATTTAAAGTATAATTACGATTATCAGCAGCACTTATTAGTGGTGATATCAAAAGAAGTATAGTGTAGTATTTTAACATCTTAAATGAGTTGGAATCTAAAAAAAAAAAAATCCTTTAATAAGATAAAAAATTATATGTAAATTTATATTTATTAACAATATGGTCTCAATGAATGCAATAAATATGTTTTGTAAAAGATTTAAATAAATTTTTATCACAATTTATTGATCACAGATAAGTCTATATCGATAAGTCTATATCTTTATTCTTCAATTAAAAAAAAATGTGAAAAAAGCCTAAGTCTAGAACTGAATTCCTTCTGTATTCAAAGAGTTCCTCTCTTTACATCTCAGACGTTTTTGATTTTTAGTGGAACAGTGATTATTGTATTGACAACTTCAGTTTGCTCATAATGATACTCATAATGAGCTTAGAAATTGATAGTCACTTCTTAAGAAATAAATGTTTGAAAGACTTTTCATTAATTCTATTGGAATTAATCAAAACCCCTATTTACTACTTATAAATTAAAACTACTAAACTATTTTTTATCATTTTCTGTAATAAACAACTTTAACAAGATACTACGTCAAACATACCTTGTGTCTCTAAAAATGAGATCCACTTAGGTCCTTACCCTCCACTTATCATATTCTTTTTCTGAGTTAGGAAGCTAATTTTTGAATTTAATTTGATTAAAAATTTTCTTTAATGCTTATATTGAAAAGACGTGAATGACATATGAAGGAAGGAATCCCCGAAAAAGAGAAGACCAGGTAACAGAGAGGTAACAGGTATTTCTTAAGAAATAAATAACAAAGTGTTTTCCTTCTGTTCCTTAAAGTCCTAACAATACACAAAATAGTTTTTTTTTTAAATAGTCTTTTCCCTCGTAGCCATACTGGGTTCTCTCGTAAATGCTCAATATTTCAGAAATAAAATCCACCCGATTATAATCAATTATGCGAAATAATTAGTCTTAGAGTCGTCTTAATTAGTCTTAGAGGAGTGAATATAAACTTCATCTTTAGCTTTATTCTTGAAATATTTTCTTTATCTTTGGTTTCTAATGATCTTTACCAACAATGAAGAATTCTCTTGAAACTCTCTCATCTTCTACATGTACTAACTTGTAGATACAATTGTCATGTCATGTTAATGCTCTATATAACAACCTGTCCTTTAAAATAAAATTACTGTATTGTACTACCGAATTAAATTTAAAACAATGACATCAGATACACTTCAATAGCTAATAAAATTTACTCAAACCCTTTTTAAGTGTGAAAGTAAATCACTCTTTTGAAGGTAATCCATAAATTATTAAACTGATATTACTATTAATTACTATTATTAGATATTATTATTATTTGTTTTCAAAATTATTATATTTAATAAAGGATATATTTACCGGAACTTTGTTTATCTTCCAAAAATAATATTCTATATACTTTCGTAATTTTCACTTGAGTAGTTACTTGTTAAGTTGTTAACTTTAGTTTATTTTAAAAACTCAGTCAGTTTATATATATAGCATTTTAAAAATTCCAATTTCAATATAATATCAATTAACTAATATTTTTATCAGTACAGCAATAAATAATATAATTTTTTGATGGCTTCACCTTACATTATTACTAATAATCTAAATTAATATACGGGTAATTGCCTGCTAATATGATATATAGGTATTCACCAACTAATCGCTTTGGTAATTACTAAAATATCTTAAACATTGGATAAACGTTTGGCATATATAGCTAAGAATATTTTAACGAAGTTATTATTATTATCAATGTCTAAATTATAAATATTTTTAATTTTAAAAACTTGAAATGTTTAAAATGACAATAACCTAATTACTTATATTATTATACAAATTAAAATCTAAATATGACAATATATAAATATATATAAATTTAATTTTAATTACAAAAATAAATTGAAAATATTTTAAATATACGGGCATATATATGATAGATTCAAATTTATAAAAGATGTGTACTATTAATTATACTATTAATTAGACTCTCACTTAATTAAAAACTATATCCATACGTAATATGAATAATATGAGTAATAAGGATCCTATGAATCTTGTCCAAAACCATTGAAAGTGTGAACTGCATTTTAAAAAAGTTGTAATTATTTTAATAGCGTTTTAATAAAATAGTACCAAAAAATATACCATGTAAGCCGCATTCATTTCTTAGTTTGCCTAAATCTATTGTTGTTGGATCCAATCTGAAATAAACAATACTGAATAACAAACACCAAATTTAAATTTATCTTACCTGAAATTAGTGGAAAAGTTATAGATATTTTTATCTTTATGTGTCGCAAAGACTGTAGACTATGAGCACTAATCAGTGCGATTACTAGTGTCAATATTTGCTCGAAACACCAAATTCCATAGTACATTTTCAATGCTTTTATCTTGCACCAAACAACTTATTCTCTGACCTCGCTATTAGCTACGTCGACTTCGTTTTAGCAACAACAAATCCATAAAATCCTTTTCTAATGATGTTATCCCGCTTTCTAGATAGCTTAAATATAAGTTCCATACCTTTCCCAAACGTTTTCTATTTTCTCAAAAGGACATTTTAATGGACCTTTACGCCACGGTTTTTCTGGTTGAAATTTTAGCGATTAGGGAAGCATATCGGCAAATTGCAAGTCACATCAAGTATAGATATAGTGTTGCAATTTTCATTGACAGCCAGGCAGTAATCCAAGCTGTTGAATTCATCCCAAAATCAAATCTAATAAAAGAATACAGAAAAGCAATCGACGACCTAAACCGATTGACTGACATCACCCTTATATGGGTCCCTGAACGTTGGAACATCAAAGAAAACGAGAAAGTTGATAGTTTAGTTCACTCTGGTACGTCCCTGGATGCGTGTCCAACAGTACCTGTTTATGTTACCGGTGCAACTTTCCGGTTAACATGGTCCACATATAATAAAACTAGATCGTGGGAACTCATCAAAAGAGACTACGTGAACACTGTAAGGCTTACAGTAGTTCTTTCTGGTTATTGGTGTATATGAACCCACAAACTGAAACTGTGAATTCCTTATAAACCTCACTGGAGATTTTGTGGAAACCTACACTTTTTCTGTGAACGCCCAGCTTTGGGTTCCAGAAAAAATAGGTTTTTAAGAAGATATTTGTTTGACAGCTTCTCATCGATTCTATTAAAATTATCTAAAGACCTATTAAAAGTATCAAAAATCGATGGGATGGATTAAATCTATATACTTCTATCTTAGCGGATACGATAGCAAAACGGCGAAAAATCGCTGATTAAAGTACATGGAAGGTTATCTCATAGCCTGCCACTACAACCTATCAACCAAACATTATCAATTTCCACTCACAGATTTCATCAGTAATCTGAACATACATAGATAATTAATTTTTAAATTATTAAGCATAATGATAAAGTTATAATATTGTATTTGTATAGTTTTGATATATAAATATCTAAAGACAATTTTAATAAATTATTTACTTTTAAATTACTAGATATATTCTAAATTGTATTGCATTACATCGCCCATATATTTTACATGACTTCATAGTTAGTGAATTTCAAATTTTACAAACGCTTCACCAAAATTAGCTGTCAAAACAAAAACTTTAATTCGCTCGGGCAAAAGAATTCGCTGCACAACTGATTATTCATCATTTATTTGTTTACAAACTGTTGCAATCATAAATATCGTTTACTATAAATTTCTTATTTTATTTTTATTACAAATATTTCATACAATGTTGAAGCCGGGGGTTTTTAAACATATAAATTGTCGCAACAATATTTATCCAAAAAGCAATGTGCAACGTACCAGGGTACCCGATGACTTGATTGATTGGTCGAAGTCTTTTCCAGATTATGACGCAGTAAATTATACTGCACCTCATATTGATAAACAGAGCTGGGCTGATCCAAATATAAGTAATAGTAGCATTAAGCTTTTGTGGAATCAATTAGATGGAAATATTAATCGTGTATCACATCATGGCAAATATACAGTAACAAATAATGTACCGCTTAATCCATTTGGTAAGTACTATTTATTGCTTTATAAACTCAATAACATTAAATATAATTTAACATTTTAAAAAGGCAGAACCGGCTTACAAGGTCGTGGTCTATTAGGTCGTTGGGGTCCAAATCATGCTGCAGACCCAATCGTTACACGTTGGAAAAGAGATGATGCAGGAACTAAAGTAATTGACGCTGCAAGCCAAAAGTAAATAAAAAAACTGTAATTATGTTATATTAATTATAATATATTAAATCAATTAATTACTATTGTAGTTATGTATTACAAATGGTTGCCATACAAAGGCACGATAATAAAATGTGGGCCATACCGGGTGGCATGGTAGATCCTGGTGAAAAAGTAAGCACAACTTTAAAAAGAGAATTTATGGAAGAAGCGCTGGATAGTTTTGGTAAATGTTGTGTACTTGAAAAGTATATTGTTGATAAATTTTATATTTTTGATATTTCTAGAATGTAAAACAATGATTGAAAATTTTTTTGAACAAGGCTTTGAGATTTATACAGGATACGTAGATGATTTTCGTAATACAGATAATGCTTGGATGGAGACAGTCGCTTATAATTTTCATGATGATGATGGTACACAAGTTGGTAAACTTCAACTTTCAGCGGGTGATGATGCAGCTAATGTTAAGTGGATGGACATTAACAAAAGTATTAAATTACACGCAAATCATATTGATATTGTGGAGCAAGTTGTCAAACGTTTAAACGCATTTTGGTAGTTTTAATAAGATATTTATTCGATTTTTTAGGCTCATTTTCAGTTTGCCCTCCGCTTTTTATATTGTTAATTTTTTATGATCAAATTAAACTTTTAAACACATAATTGAACAATTTATTTCAACAGTTAGTATAACCTCAGAGTATATTACTGAATGAAATGGTTCGGTCTTGAAGAAAATATATTTATTTATAATATAAAACAATTTTATATTATTAACTAATATTGGTAAATTTTATTAACTATTTTTATATACTGCTAAATTAATTATAGTTCAAATAATTATCGGTATATTAAATACATATTTACAGAAATAAAAATTGGATTGTTTCTTTAAGTAAATTATTTAAATTTTCATAATCTCTTCATAATCGTTGCAAAGTCGAGAAGCAGCATCAAATAATAAACGCAAAAAATATATCTTATTATTTATATAGTTATATATAACTACTGAAGTTGTTATAGCAAAAGATTTAAATTCATCAACAAAATATCTTTACGCCAAATTTTTGTTTATGTCGAGTTTTATGAATGAAAACATTTGGCTAGTCTTTACATTCTAGGGCGAATTCAATAGGTAGAAATCAGCTGTTCATAACTGTCAAATCTGTTTTCATGTGTTTATCAACGAGTTTTTGTTTACTTCATGTTTCGCATAATATTTAAACTAACACGGAAAAACAACTTTAATAAACTATTGTGCAATATGAGTACATTTACACAATATCGGAATCCTTTGACTGGCAATAATGAATGGGTACTTCAAGATGATGATTACGACTATCACCAAGAAGTAGCCAACACCGGCTTTGGTGACATGCTTCACGATACGGAACGTAACCAAAAATATTTTGCCGCGCTTCGTAAGGTATTTATATTAGTTTTGCATTATGAAACTAATTTAATAATGAATAGAATATTAAACAATCCTAATGTTGATAGTAATGTGCTTGTCTTAAAATTGTATAAAATGGTTAAATTTATCATTTGCAGACAATAGCAAAAATGCACAATGATGGACGTGAAGTGCACGTGCTGGATATAGGTACAGGAACAGGTATACTATCAATGATGGCTGTTGTAGCTGGTGCGGATACGGTAGTTGCCTGCGAAGCCTTTACGCCAATGGCTAATTGTGCAGAAAAAATATTTCATGCTAATCAAATGGACAAAAAAGTTAAACTAATTAAAAAACGTTCTACTGAAATAAAAGTTGGAGTTGATATGCCTAGAAAAGCAAATTTGTTGGTTGCGGAACTATTGGACACAGAGTTGATAGGTGAAGGAGCCTTAGGCATTTATAATCATGCTCACAAGCATCTTCTAACTGATGATGTCATTTGTATACCAGCAAAGGCTAATTGCTATGCTCAAGTAGCTCAAACAACAAATCCTTTGCTTAAGAACAAAATGCCGATTCTGGCAAATTTGGATGCAGATAAGCTACTTAGACCACCTGCAGCTACTTTATCATGTAAAGGTAGTGCTAGTTTACATGATTTGCAATTATCACAGTTACCTCAGCACACTTTTACCCCACTAACGAAACCAATTGAGATCTTTCAATTCGATTTTAATTCTAAAACAATTAGACCTCACAGTCGTGTAAACAACCTGCTCGTGGAAACTATTAATTCTGGCAGCACAGATGTTGTATTTTATTGGTGGAATATTGAAATGGACTTAGACGCTGAAATATTGTTAAGCTGTGCACCGTACTGGGTACATCCTGATCTTGAGACTATAAAGCAAAATGTCAACAATAAGGTATCGTTAAAAGATGCAGTTCCTTGGCGCGATCACTGGATGCAAGCTGTTTATTACATTCCCAAACCAATATTTATTAGTGCAATAGATAAATTCAATTTGATCTGTAACCATGATGAATATTCACTATGGTTCGATGCAGCTCCACAAGCTCAAACTCCAAATGATATCGTACCTCGACACAACTGTAGTTGTAGTTTTCATTCTTCCTTCCCATATAACCGCATTGGACAATATAATGATTTTACACGGAACAAGCGTTATTTATGTTATTTGGAAAATGCTATAGACAAAGACTCAAATGTGCTTAGTATAGGCGATGGCTGTCTATTGGGTTTGTTTACCAAATTGTTAGGTGCCAACAATGTTATATGTTATGAACACAGTAGAAATACACGCCGCTTTGTGGAATTAGTCTCAGCACATAATGATCTATCAAATGTGCAATTTGTAGATGATATAAAAGCGATAGATGACAACAAGTTATCAAAAATAACACATGTATTCGCTGAACCATATTTCACCAGTTCAATTTTACCTTGGGATAACTTTTATTTTGGTATTGTTTTGGAAAAAATAAGAGACAAACTTAACGAGAATGTAAACATATCACCACAAACAGCACGAGTGTATGCAGTGCCTGTAGAATTTTTAAACCTACACAAAATACGTGCTCCTGTCGTTAAATGCGAGGGTTTCGATTTAAGACATTTCGACGAAATGGTGCAGGTAAGTGAAAATATTAATAATTTTTTCAAAAAATGCACAAATAGTATATATTGCTTTTTTAGATTTCAACAGAGATAGCACAAGCAAAAATAGAGGCTCAACCACTGTGGGAATATCCCTGCATTGCGTTATCGAAGCCTGAGGAAGTTTTAGAAGTGGATTTCAATAATTATTTAGTGGATAAAGCAACAAGTGGCACTTTTAAAGCAGAAGCGTAAGTATAAGCCTTTTCTGTTTTTTTTTAAATAATTTATGTAAACGTTTGGTTTAACATCTATCTAATCTATGTTCGACTTTATTTTCTACTTCCCTCAATGTGGAAAGAGTTCAATATATGTTGTAGGTTTGTAAATAATCAATAGATTGAGTGCGCTTGCTATAATCTCATTTTAATAATTTAGATAAACTAAATTAAATTGCAGTTATGTTAGATAAACTGGAAAATATTTTATTGAAAAATAATATAGGGTATTACTTCCAAAATATATCGGCTTTAAACCCATAAGCCACTGCAAAATAAATTTATGGTTACTGGTCTAATAACTGAACTATATAGAAAAAATTATTCTGGGTAAACAAAGATCAGTTCATAACAACAGATATCAAAAGACATAAGAAAACTTGGTGATTCCTGATGGTAACATTATTGATTAGTTTAAGGTCAAGGTTTAAAATTAAGGTTTTAAGCAAAACCTTGTTAAGAATCAAACAAATCAACTGATAAACAAAAAAGGGATTAGATAGATATACAAAGCAGTTTGTGATAAGGGTTAGAACAAATCATTTGATAAGTATGTGGTTTAAACACTACATATAATATCATATAAAATATTATATTATATTTTAAGATATACATATCTGTACAACATTTTAACTATTCTCCCGGTACATAAAACTAAAAATATAGGAGTTTCGTGTTCAAAATCAGGTTATAATAATATAAATAAAATAAAAATATATGTAATAAAAAAAAATATAATCAAAAATGCTCCTTAATAATTAAGAATGTCCTTTTAGCCACTTTCTCTTCCATTTACCTATCTTTACCTTGACTAACTTTATTAAAAATTATATATAAGTAATTAGTCCACAGTTTATAATAAATTAAAAATAATCAAAAGCCTTGGCTACTTGTAGAAAAACACGATTAGCCATCGCTTCTAAGGCTGCCACTTGCAGTCCAAACAAATTTTATGCGGACTAAATTATAAAAAATTAAATTAAATTTTTATAAATTTAAACTAATTAAAAAATTCGAATATTTCCTAAAACCACTGATGATGAGTACTTAGCAATGCTCGAAACAGCGTTGTGTGGTCAGCCGAATTTCAATAAATTAACTAAAATTTTTGTTGTTGTTTTTCATTTCTATTCGAAACATTCTAAAATTGCATCTTAACAATCTAATGATTTTTATTCTTCTTTTCAGTTCCGGTAGTTGTAATGGTATAGCTCTCTGGGTCAATTGGCATCCCTCAAATTCTACAAAAAGTAATCATATAGTGAGTATGGGTCCAGTAGATGATGTTCAACCTGGAGAGTTTATAAGTTGGTATAATTATGCACGTCAAGCAGTACATTTAATACCCGCACCAAAATATATTGAGAATGGTCATAGTACCATTGAATGGACAGCAAATTTCAAGCCAAAGTTAGGATCATTAAATTTTACTTTTAATATTAATGTTTAATATTAAAATAAACAACAAACATTTCGTAAATATGTAAATAAAAACACACTAAACAATTTTTATCAAAATTGAAAATAGAAGATACAAATAATTTTATTATACATGAATTTGTGGGTCACAACACGTTATGGTGGAAGATATTAGTATATATTAAAAAAGTGTGGTAAGTGCTTTCCTAAATCATTAAATGTTATTAAGTCATAAAAAAATTTAATTCTTAGGTATTTCAGTCTCCATTTTACTGAGTACAATATTTCGTTCAGTTTGTTGTGTGGGCGAAGCTTTCATGCCAAATTCACCACCCTTCAAACGTTGACGCATATCCAAAGCACGTATATCAGTCATCAAAGAATGCTCCTTATTAGCAAGATCAACTTCAACCTTACGTGATTGAGCTTCTAGTAAATTGTAATTTGCTTTGGATTGCTCAATTTGATTGATTAACTCATCGCGAATATTTTGTAACTTCTGCACCTCTCTAACAAGTTGATCGTGTGCTGGATCCAAGCATAATTCCATACCAGAACGTTGTGCACGATTCTCCAGACGCGTTTGAGCCAATTTAAATGCATCAGTTTTGTCACGTAATGCCTGTTCCAAAGCTTTGATTTCGCAAACAGCAGCCTCCATATCTTCGCGGTTCTAAAATTAAAGAGTTATGAAATTTAAATTATAGAGAAAAGAATTATGATTTTTTGAGAGTATCCCTCACCCTTAACTGCTGCCATTGTAATTCATTACGCGCACGTTGAGTTTCGAAAATGCGTTTCCGAATAGTGTGTTCAGTACGATCCATTTGTGATATCAACATATTGCGAGCCTTCTCACGGCACACGAATAAGGATTCACGTATAGTATACGTATCAGCTAACTCATTTTCAGCTAATTCCTTCATGTTACTAGTATGCTCCAACCAAGCTTTGTAGGAGCAGCAACTGTAAAAATATACTTAATAATATTTCAATATAAGAATAAAGTAAGTTTTATACTTTTTGGGATTACGTGTAGCATTTGGTTTATAGGAAATGTTTGCTGAGAATTGATTTAAAGCAATTTGCTTTCTATCCAAGTCTTCAGCTTCTAGTTTGTTGTCCATTTCGAGACCGATCTGAAACTTTACTTCTTCCAAACGACACATTTTTTCCCAAGTTTTGTGGCATTGATCAAGTAAAATTTGCTGATTATTTTCTAATATGTATAATTCTTTTTTGAGCTCAGTATCGGCATCATCGTAAGTAATTTCTGAACCTAAACGGCAATCACGTGATGCTAGACACTCTGAAACTATAGCCAGTGGATTTTGTATCGCATCCAATTCACGCTCAGTTGAAGCTTTCTCTTCGGTCAGAAGGTTCATCTCATGAATGATGCGTTCATACGTTTTGGTGATAATTTCACGCCAACGTTCCAATTCTGATATTCTAAAAACAATAAACACTGAGTATTTGAAACATACAAAAAAAAAAGAAAAAATTTCAATAGAAATAGATGAAATAGTCTTGAAAATTTTATTTCTATGGATTGTTATTGCTGTAGCCCCCAGTTAAATCAGCAAGGAGAAAACGATATCGGGGAATCAGGCAGTGATATATTAATCTATCCACAATCACTAAATTGTGTAATGACCTGTGATGGCCCGCCATAAGATGATGCTTTATTCAGCCTATTTTTAATAAAGAAAAATCCAGCAATATCATTCCCCACAATAATAAAATTTTTGTAGTGGACATGGTTATGGACTATATCATTCAGATGCCCCACATTAATAAAAGTTTTGTAGTGGATAATGTTATGGATTACTGTTGGTAAGGAAACCTTGTTAAGGAATTGAATATTTTCTTCAATAATTTTTGCTACAGTTGTAAGAAAGTTGAAGAACTGCTTTATATGTGCGTTTTCACATTTCAGTTATCAATATAAATTACATATGTTAGCGTTTTATATTAAAGAGAATTTCATCTATCCATTAGACCTCTACTTAAACATCTTACCAGGCTTAACTAAAGGTTAGAAATGGTAATACATTCAAGTTGGGACTATTGGTCTCAACTCGCTGAGTATAATCATAGTAGGGAGGAGTCAAAATATGGATCACATATCACAGAATTAACCAAAACTAAAAACAGCCCTTTTATAAATTTATGTGAATAATAATAATAATTCAAAAATTAATTAATTTCTCTGTTATGTATTAAATTTCAGAAATCTACTACTTCTATTTATTATAATTATTAAGGTAATAATATATGTTTTCCAGAATTATTTTTTAAGTCTAACAATAACTATATATACAATACATATTGTAATTGACTTATACTATTAGTAATAAAAAATAAAATCATTCCTAACATTTAAATATTTATCTTACCGGTCTTCAAGGGCTTCATTAGTTTCCTTAAGAGTCCAATCACCTTCGATACGTGTTTCATAGCGTAAGGAACGCGAGGCTTGTCGTATAGCGAATGCCTCTTCACGCCTAGCCTCAGACTATGGAAACAAACTTTATACATATACAAAATATTTACATATAACGTAATATATAACTTACAGTGTTTTTTAGTGTATTAACACGATTATTCCAATCGGTTAAACTAATATGAGGCATAGGTTTTTCAATGTTAATAACTGAACTGAACGGCATTTTGACGACTTGTATTTAACAAAAACAGAAATTAAATATATGATATTGACACGTTCACGAAATTTATTAAAATTAATTATAAAAATATTATAGTTTATATATGTAGAAATAGTTTATAGTAAAAATTTATGAAGAAGCTTGGAAGTTACTTAGAAAACTTGATACACACAATTTAAAAATTTATTTGAATTTACAAATTTTGTATTTTACCATGGCAAGATTAGTTTCTATGGTTGCTATATAAAATTATTCATTTTAATATACAATTTCTTACGGACTATTCTGTTGGTGGGAAAACCCCGTTACATTTATTTAATCAATAAAACATTATTAAATTGTATAAACACTTTAATTATAGAAAATCTGGTATGGCTCTTTTATATTTTCTGTTTCATCCGAATTGTTGACTTTTTTGTAATATCTTAGTAACCACAACTAATAAAGGAGTCCCCTGGAAATTAATACAATTTTTAAAATGAATTAAAAATGTAAAAAATCATATTTTGCATTTAGAATAAATAATTTTGATATTTTTATGTAAATCATTATTTTATTTTATGTAAATTGTATATGTATTTTTGTTGATATTGGCCACCTCCTTGTTTTGAAGAACATTTCAAGCTTTGCAATTTTTATTAATACAATTTTTAAAATGAATTAAAAATGTAAAAAATCATATTTTGCATTTAGAATAAATAATTTTGATATTTTTATGTAAATCATTATTTTATTTTATGTAAATTGTATATGTATTTTTGCTGATATTGGCCACCTCCTTGTTTTGAAGAACATTTCAAGCTTTGCTGAAGGTTTAAGATTGTTTTTTATGCCTTGGAGTTTTTATACGGTAACACAATGGGCTAAAAAGTCTAAGTGAATACTTTGGATTGCCGGTATTATGTTACTTAACCTAACCTGTAATATATTTAGATCATTTTACTTAATCCCACCAATGTAAAACAATGTGGTGCATTTTTCATACAACACCCATACCAAATCCATATAAAAATATACCAAAGACACTTTAATAACTCTGTATCTACATGTCATTACATCAAAAATCTCAATTTATAATAATGTTTTATATCATGTTTCCCTTGGTGTTAATTAAGCTCAGTTTTAGCTCATTAAGGCTGCTAATGTGGATAATTTATCATACAAAGAGCTTTCATATAAATGAGTTCATTAAAATAAATTAGTTCATTTAAAAGATATAGAATGCAACCCTTTAAAATAAATTTCTCACAATTTAAATGACCAAAATTTGAAATATTTGTTATATTTAATATGTAAAAGGTAAACAAACAAGTTATTTCACATGCATAAAACAGCTCATGCCAATGGAAACGACCTAAGTAGTTTTATAGCATATTCACATTGTCTCATTTAGGAAGTTTTATTCATTATAACCACATATTTCTTTGTTCTTATTAATTGAATATGTGATAGATATATAAAATGGAGATAAATAATTCAATATGTCAATTATATACAACAACTAATAATAATGTAATAATAAGTATTATATATAAAGCATTTTTGTGTATGATATATTATTAAGTGAAGTTTATTTATTTCATATAAAAGTTCTATCAGTTGCATAAATAAATTCATTATAATATGAACATTTACTCATTAATTTTGAGTAGAGTAAATTATATATAAATTAGGTGTTTCCATTGTGAAAATTTTATAAATTGTTTAATAAATAAATAAATAAATTTGAAAACATTTAACCAAATATAATATATAAGTGCAATAAATAAATATTTACGTAAGTGGAATACAAAAATTTCCAAGGAAATTAAAATTTACTTAACTTCAATTTACTTGAACTCGCACAGAGCCTAATTGTGTTTAACTTCAAATTTTTTCTACAATTTACTGATTTACCATTAATGTAAATAATAAAATATGTGGCATCATCAAATTGATTTCGCCCAACATTTTGACATTTTAAACGCCAATTATGAATTTTCGCAATTTGTGAGTAATCGAACCGTCAAAGACAAATTTAATCGTACAACATTTTGCAGCTTAAAATTTAATTAAATTATCTATATGTCAGGAGCAATTTAACATATAGTGTCGCTGTTGAATGAGCAAAAAGGAAAAGTCGAATTTCATTAAAGTGCACTCATAAGTAATTCTCAATATATATAAATAATTTTAAATAAATTTTATTAGAAAAATCGAAGTATTTTATGCTGCAATTCCCAGTATTGAGAACATAAAAGTGACATTTGGTGTGACGAAATAGCTCATATTCGCAGTTATAACGCGAACGCATGAGTTAGAGGGAGTACAACATATGCTGTAATAAGTCAAGTCATACGTTGAGCTTCGAAATTAAAGAGCGTAAAGAGGAACAAAAATAGCAATAATTACAATGGCGAATCCATCAAGCACCGGTGTTGGTAAGAATTTTTTGTTAAAAAAATTAATAAATTTGTGTAAATATATTGTAAATCATACATAGTATTATTATCAGAAAAAATTTCTAATAAATTGCGTTAAATGCATATATAAAAATATATAAATATTAAACAAAATATCGCCAAAAAAGACTTGCTTTGCCGAACTATGTGCAAAACGTGAAAGTGTGAAGTCTGAATATGTAAAAAGAAGAAAAAAAATTAATGTGCGAAAAAAAGGCGGTGCTGTGTGAAAAATAACTTTAAACTTATAAATGATAAAAAGTTTTCAAAACTAATTTTAACATTATGTTGAAAAATAATTGTATAAAAATTTCGGTTCACTTCATCAAATGACTTGACAAAAAGTTCTTTATGCTCTCTTTTTTTGACTTTTACTCACCCTTTTGTATGCTACTTGTCCGGTTTGTTGTGTTGCCAATGGTTAGGTTTAGTTAACAAAAAAAAAAAAAAAATCAAAAGAAAATAAGACCTAAGTGCTAGTTCACTTATTTTTGATTGACTTCTACGAACCCCTCACGCGTTTTAAGATACATTTCTTAATTGCATGCTGAGTTGCCGAAAACCTACAAATTCCTATTGTGCCGCGCCCGGTTTGGAAACTTATTGCTTAATTAGCAGGCAAAATAAAGGAATCATATTTATTACTATTGTTTCACTTGTGCTCCCATTCCTATGCAGTGTCCTTCTTGATACTGCACCACCTGACACCACCCATTTCATACATTCCTCAATTAAAGTTATTAGTCATCGTGATTGCAGCTATTTTATTGTCAGACACCACTCAACTCGACTCATCAATACTGGGTGGCTTTGTATATATGTATATACTTTAATATTCACACGAGTTTGACCTATGTGCTTTCAACTATATGAGATATGATTTAATCTTTAAGAAAATTATAATAAAACGTTGGACTTAGTTCAGAAACATATAGAAAGTACTTTGCATGATGGTTTAATATAAAAGGATCTGCACTTCTTCGGAGGTATTTCAAATAGAGTATTATGTTATATTATGACTTTCAAAAAATTATTCGGTTAACTATTTGCTAATAAAATTTAAAAGTATTTTACTGGGTTTAGGTTCTTAATATAATAAACAAAATTCTTTCACTATATAAATAAAATACCAAAAACATTTCCTCAGATATTGTAACTTAGAATGTATTCTGAATTCACAAAATTTTCTGACGTTTTTAATTAAATCCCACATCACGTGTTTTTAAAACAATAATTATAAAAATCATCTTATAATAAAATTCGAGCTCGTCTGTATTTAAACAGAGTATCTGTTGTTGTGTTGTGTTGACCCGCGGATATTTATCGAGCAGATAATATGAAATGAACTAAAGCTCAACTTATACCTTCTGGTACAGTACCTTTTTGAAATGTTGCACGGCATTTGGTCGTCAAACTCGAAAAGTGGCCATATGACGTAGACCCAGCCGGTCTCGAAACCCAATCGGAATATCTATTAATCTAATGTGTTAGATAACTCATATCAGTAGCTGCATTATAAACTAACTAAAAACGAATTAAATTAATTTTTTTATGAATGGTGTTAGGACCTTATTTCTACTACTAAAGTATTTGGTTGTCCTTGGTTTTATAGCAGTCATAGGCGAACGGATCTAGTACATTTTAATTTAACTTCCATAGATGACGTAAAATTTGGGTTTATAAAGATGAAAGTGAGCAATAAGATTTTGTACATACAATTGGCTATGAAGAGACAGTATTGCGAAGAGTGGGATTTTTCTGAAACTATAACTAATTTGCAGAGCAAAATAGTTGTATCATTTTAATTTAGAAAAAAAAACAATTTTTCATAAACTGTAGTTGGATGGTTATAGTAGTTGTACTAGTAGACCATGGTAATTTATATGACATAACATAAAATGAATTACAAACACGATACATGGGTTAGAATATGGTTAGCTGCGGTAAGCGTGAAAGGGTCAGGGATTCTTTGGGCACAAGTGTACATTAAAGGGTGAGACTTTAATTAAAGCTATCTTAAGTTAAGATGGGACAGAGCCAAATCTCAATAGGATTTCAATTGATGTATGCATTAGGACATAGAAGCAGATAAGCAACATCATTAGGTGGTAGAGCTGCAGTCAAAAGGAAATGGATGGTTTAAATGCCTTTCTAAATTTGCCGCTCGTACACTAGTACAATAGAATATTTTAAAGGTCTTCAATTATTGATTTACCATTTTTGTTTGTTTGCAACTTAACCACTACAATCGAATATTTATTAGTTTACATTTTGTGTTATTTATTTAATTTAGGTCGAGTGCGAGTTAGGCTAAGTTGATGCTAAACCAAAAGGGAGATTTTTTGGGATTTTTTACACTGCACACATTTAGTCATTCATCAACACGTACCGACACATTACTATATTATCGGCACAACTTAGAATTTCCCTCATTTAGAACGCAACTTAGCCTAACTTGCACACGTCCTTAAAAACAATCATATTCTGATTCTTTATCAATAAAATATCGTAAAATATGTTTTCATATATTTAGACTAATTAAATTATTTTCTTTAGTGGTTCCACGTAATTTCCGTTTACTGGAAGAACTAGATCAAGGTCAAAAAGGCGTTGGCGATGGCACTATATCTTGGGGCCTTGAAAATGATGACGATATGACCTTAACATATTGGATTGGCATGATTATTGGACCACCTAGAGTAAGTAAATTCCAAATTAATAATTTAGAACTAATTTATATACGTTATTAAACTGCCAATTTGGTTTATATTGTTATTGAAGTTATTGTTATTCATCAAATAAACGTTATCAATAACAGCGAATAATTGTAAACTCTTCTAATCACAAATAGTTTGAGTTTCAATCAATATCCCAAAAGATTATTTTAGAGTTGATCATCGGGTGATCTAGCACAATCTATCAATTCACCTTGATAATATAAAACATGTTGAACATGTTGCTGTTGTTATAGTCCAAAGAAATCTAATTGTGTTGTCCTATTTGTGAGTGTTGAATGCCAATTGGTCGTCGAACTTGATGACTGGCTCTCGATTCTAGGAACTTTAATATGTGAGATACCCGATTGTATAAATATTATCCGAATTTGTGAAGATGTGTTCTCGCAATATGGTAGACTTTTCTTTCATTTATATTAAAGACTTGCATTATGTGTCAATTTAAACTAAATTTTAAAACATTTCTCGTAAAGAATATTCCATTAATTTTATAAAACTATACTATGGATATGTGCGCTATAACAAGAGCTGTTCACTCAAATTTTAGTCAAAGCTAGATTAGATCTAAAACGACTAAATGTGTCTAGATATAGTGGAATACGAGTATAACAGAAGTAATTATTTAACACTAATCATTAGTGCCTCTAATTGGTAGACACATTACAAGACTACAACTTTTGCCCGCTGTTCTGGAATTTGCAAGAGCTGCTACTTAAAAGAAAAAAGAAAACGTCAAAAGCGATTTATAGCACTGTCCAACTTTGATAAAAATATCTTGTGTACCTTTTTCCTTTAACGAATATATCGAATATCAATGTATATAAATTTTAGAATTATTTAGATATCAAATGACTTTAAAGGAAATAAGTATATCTCTAGTGTTATAGAATATCGCAACGCTACATATTGGTCTAAATTAGGTGTATTTGCCACTAGTGGTATTTAAGTAACTAGAATTTATGGAATTTATATCTATATGATTTTGAGTACATAGTTCGCATGAAATATGTTCAGCGAACCCCATATAGGCTGCTTAATTTCTTGTCCCACCATGTTACGTACCGAAAAACAGGTGCTTAACACTAAATATACAGCCTAACTTATGAGGATTATGGGTTTTACATCATTTACTAGTGTCACTTTTTCACGTCTTTGTTTCTAAATCCATTACTTTAGTATTTTTAGAGGTAATTATCATATAGGAATATAATAATAATAATGAAATATAGAAAAAATTTCAATCTCTTCGACATTTACGTTTGTCATGAACTAAGAACTTGATAACCATGATGTACGAGTATATCTAACACAGAACTACTTCAAATTCTTTTAAAGTCATAAAAGAATATGCTGAGTATGTCCGAAAGTTGTAATTTTTTTTCATAATTACCAATATAAAAAACACTTATATAAACAAAGTCTCTGCGGCACCAGTCCGAATGATTTTTTATAGCCCACTATAATGATACCGACAGAATTGTAAAACTGTGATTGTCATAGAAAGTTCGCAATATCGGTAACTACAGTTCGCCTTAGTAGAAGCATACTGGCTGCCGATCTAAAGATATCCTCTCAAAATGCGTTACGAATATTACAAAATGAGTTTTAATCAAAATCTTTAAAGCTTCAAATAGCTCACAATCTTACACCGAAGAAAAGATAGAGGAAATCGAACTAAAAGTTTAATTCATCAGGCCAAAAGTGCAGAGTTTTGTTTTTTTCCGCGGGGCTCTTTCATTATTGAGCAAATAGTGAAGAAAAAAAATGGAGTAGTTTACTTGTCTTAGATTTTTTTCGAAAATTTACATACTGGATGGCTCACAAGGTTGTTGATGTTGTTGTAACCCGCTGGGACCTGTAAGCAAATAATAGGAAAGAGGACAAGGCGATTACATGGGTAGGGAAGTGGTTGGTGGTAGGCTGGAGAGAGGAATGAGGATATGGGGTGGATTAGGTGGGCGGTATTTAATTGAACATTAACCCGGGTCCAGACGGAGAAACCTGGCCACTTCTTTGAGTTGGGGGCTCCCAAGATGATGATGGCTGCTGCTATAGTCTCTTTTGGGAATTGCACTTAGTCGTTGAAATTGACTAGTGGCTCCGGGGCGTAAAACCAGTAGTTCCGAGAGCTTTATTATCGTTACAATCGCCATAATTGGACTTATCAAAAATTGCTAGTATATTTGTTAATTTGAAATTTTCTGAAACACAAAAAAAAAAAAATAAACAAAAAATTAAAAAAATTATAGCATTACCGAAAGTTACAATTTAATTGTCTTAGTCTGTATTTAATTTCTTATATATAAGATAAAAATTTATTACAATGAACTAATATTAATCCTTTTTTATTTTACAGACACCTTATGAAAATAGAATGTATTCACTGAAAATTGAATGCGGTGAACGTTACCCTGACGAACCTCCAACGCTTAGATTTTTAACAAAAATTAATATGAATTGTATTAATCAAAACAATGGAGTGGTAAGTAATTTATTTATTAATTGTTTATGTTAAAAGATAATCTATAATTTTTTTTATTTCATATAACTTAGGTTGATCACAGATTAGTTCCAATGCTAGCCAGATGGAATCGTGAATATACTATTAAATCGATGCTGCAAGAAATTCGTAGAATTATGACTTGTAAAGAAAATCTTAAATTGCCGCAACCACCAGAAGGTGCACATTTTTAGTTGGTTACAACAATTGTTGCTGGTCTTTTAGCAACAGCTGCTGCTGTTGCTGCTACTGCTGCTGCTGATGCTAAAAATCGTAATCATTTTTTTCGTCACCTCTTTAGCGTCTTCTCGTCGTGAGAACATGTTATTATTATTCTCTTATATTTAATAAATAAAACAACAACAACAGAAAACAAATTAAATATATAAAATTATTAAAATGAAGCATCATAAATATGAAATAAAAATAAAAACAAAGATATAAAAATTATAAACTTAAGAAACAAAAATCAAACGTTTTAACATCATAAGGAATATTTAGTTTCGAAGCATATACAAAACAAAGATTAAAAAATGATGGATTATTAAGTAAATATATATAACAAAAAATTTTAAATAACTTAAAGCATCCATTTAGTAACAAATTAATTAATTAATTAAAAAAGAAAAAACAAAAAAGGTACACGTACTAATGTCTAGACAGCGTCTTAAAATAATTGCATACAATAATAATATTAACAATAAAAAAATCGCATTAAACATATATAATTTAAAAATTGAATAATGAAATATACAATTTAAATATAATTAAATTATATATATTTAAATATATATATATATATGAATTAAAACTTAACGTAAGCAAATTAAAAACGAGGAAATTAAAATGTTGAGAATTTTAGTAGAAAAAAGAAAAGTTCAATTAAACTAAGCAAAGGTAAAATATCGTCGAGGCAAACTTAATTTTTTATGTTCGAAGGTTTGCGCACTACCAACTCAAAATATAATTTATACTAAAGTCAATGAAATTTCCTTCTTTTTTTTTCAAAGAACAACTTTTAATTAATATAATTTATTTCGTTTTTATTTTTCATTAAAAATGATGCATTTTTCATAGAAATTTTGTTAATAATTTGAGATAATTTATTTTTTTACAGCTAAGCTGCTGAATTTTCCTTTAGACTTTTATTATATTTAACTCAGAATAAAAGTTAATAAATTAATGCTTAACAAAGCAAATTTTGTTTAAACAAAAAAAATTATTCTCATTGATTATGAAAAAAAAGAACTCATAGTTTTGCTTAAAAAATATTACTTTTTTATTTGTCACCTAACTTTAAATACAAAAAAATTTAAAAAATGCATTAAAAATAAATTAATTTTTTTATCGATTTTATGCTGCTATTCTTTTAAGATCTTTGGACCATGAAGATAAAGTATTAATTGTTGTGAAAACTAACAAAAATCCTCAACATCATTCACTAAAGTAATTAAATCAGATATTGAAAATATTCTCATTAGTAAGTGGACTTACTTTCTTGTTGCTAAATCAACTAAGTAAATATTAGAGGGATCAGAAAAAGTATCGTTTTTTCCCAACTGAGATTGAGTATTTAATGGGCAACAGAAGCACATCATCGCTGGAGGCAACAAAGGGGCCCCAGAAGCTGAAAATCAACTACCAGAAAGAGTAAATACTGTTTAAATTTGATTTTTAAAGTTCATTATGACTAAGGAAACTATCTTCTTGCTAGGTCTGTTTTTTAATAGAAAGGTTAGTACAACAATAAAATTTTATTTTAGAGCAGTTATGAATTCAGAGTTATAATAAGAGTTGAGTTGCGTTAAGAGTTGTTATAAAACTCCGCCCTGAGAAAAAAGTCAAACACACTTTGAAACGTCAACGTTATTTATAAATCATGCAACAAATAATGCCGCTGCAAACAGAATAGTGTTGAAACTTAATAATTAAAAATAAAAATATAATTAATTAATTTAATTATTCTACAGCTGGTTTATGATTTCGTTGTAATATAAACACAGCAAGTGAATTTGTTAATAAAACTTTCACAGCAAATCAACAAAACTCTACAAAAATGTGCGGACATAAAAAGTCAAGTACGGTTTTCGGTCAGTTGGTTAAAGTGCGCTGACTCTGAGCTTCAAATTTGACAGGACACGAGTTCGATTCTTGGTACTTACAGTCTCAAAAAATTATTTACGTATAATAAAATACAAAAATTATTTCCAAAACCATTGATGATGGGTGTTTGGAAATATTCGAAACAGCTGTATGGTCAGCTAAATATTCAATTAATTAAAATAATATAAAAATGAATTTTTGTTGTTATAGTTCACCACTGTTCGAAAAAACCTCTTTATAGAAAAATATATAAAAATAAAAACTAAATTACAACTTTTGATTCACATAATCCTTTTCAAAAAACAATGATAAAGTTTCGTTTACCTAATTGAATTTTGCTTGATCTTATAATTGTTTTGAGTGTTAATGGTTCGATGGGATTTTAAAGAAAAAATACACTTAAAAGCTGATATTCATCATAGAGAGGTGATGCTATCTACCAAGAAACCAATAATTAATAAGAATAAAAGATATAGCACTCCACTAAAATAATGAAAGACTATACTACTTGATGACACGACAAAACATTTTACATTTGAATTGGAAGGTATTGTCATGTATATACTATAGTTGATAGTGTATTCTCTAGATTTGGATTATCACTTGTTTCGATCTTTACAGAATTTTTTAGACCGCAAAGCCATTCCTTCAAATTGGAATTTCAAAAATGGTTTGGTTCAGTTTTCTTGTCAGTAGAGATCAGAAGTTCAATAAACATAAAGCTAATCTGCAGTCAGAGAGGTGACAAGATATTGAACTAAAATAAAGAGTATGTAAGTTAGTTCAAATTAGTCTGTCTGGTTGCAATCCACGCATAAACTTATAGATACCTAGTTCTATCAAATGGAGTTTAAGGAGTGCTTGCAACTCTATTTCTCAGACAGATCCACCAAGCATTTTTTAAAATGTTAGACAATTAGACTGGACAATAATGGTATATGAGTCTAGAGTCTACTCCATTTGTGCAGCTTCAGTACATACGTATCAGTCATGGAGAATATATAATTCAATAACATATTTGTACACTACAATCACCATTCTTCATTTTCACCAAAAAATAAATTATTTTCCGAATATAGTTATTTTCGCCATAGTTATATTCCAGGTCAAAATTTTAAATAATTTTCTTGTGACTTACAATTCACTATTTTGCATTCATTGTGATATGCACAGATTATCTCTAGGATCTAAGGAGATGTATCTCTAAGATAATGAAATGTCCTGACTAAATAGGATTTATGTATATAATTAGCATAAATTTTAAATTGTGGACGTTATTGTAATAATATATCAAGAATACGGAAATATAGCGAAACTAGATTAACGAAAGTCTATTTTACCTATTCCTATATTTATTTAATATAAGAAGCAATTTATAATATTACAATAAATTTAGTAGAATTCCTTCTAAATCAAATCTCATCCGCAGTGTAGTTTGAACAAAATGTATGGGTAAATACAAAGTTTATATCTTTTTATCCAGTTGCAGCCTTAAGTGGTGTGGAAACCAAAGAATGTTTAAAAAATTTTTTTTGAAGGACTGACTACAATTACTTTTAAATAGAAGTATTATCTCCTCATATATTTTAGTCATCGTTGGCATTAAAATTTATAGTAGAAAGTAACATGAATAGTACTCTACTTTATATAATAGAAAAAATATGGTTCCAAGATTTCAAGTTAAACCGAATAATTCTAAAATAATGGTTCATTATTAAAGGAACTTATTTTTTAGTGAAAATAG